ATCAAATACGAATTTCTGATTTTAAGTGTAATTTACCCACCTTGTAATTATTCGTTGCAAATTGCTAGCCTTGACAAAGACTGTTTTGTAAAACGAAAAGATGATGTGGTGATATGAATGGATCAACCGACAGGTGACAAGAGGATTACGTTTAGACGTTATGTTTAGTATTGGTTCAAAATCACATGCATTGCGGCAAATGGTTATTAAAATCATGTTTCATAATAGCGGTACAGACACTGATTAGTGTAGTGGTGCAGCTGCGATCCTGGCGAAATCCAGATTATACAATATGCTTTTGACCATAACCTTTTTGCGCCCATGCACATTATGTATTGGATATAAAATACACAGAGAAAAATGCCAACCACCTAAAAATTGAGCACGTGAAATACAAAATAGGATACAATGTAAAAAATTACTTGATTCTATCCCTTGATGGGAAATGTACTGTCCAGTCAACCTTCCTTCGAAAAGTTTTGAAAGTTAATCTGACATGGAAAGATATTTGGGGTTAGAATTTACATATTGTCTTAGTATTTTGCTCATTTCGAGCGTCGTAAATTTCTCGACCACCACCGCAATTTGCTGCGGCTTCCACATCTGCGAATGACGCCAGATCTACACCTTTTACTAACTTTTACTTCAGTACGGTACTCCAAAATATAACATAAATTTCTAATGGCAAAAGTTCATGACCGCAGTAAAGGATCATTTTTAGTAAACCACTATCGCTAAAGCTATTTGCGTGTATCCAACTTGTAATAAAATAATATCGAAGAAAGATAAAATCAATTTATGGGAAACACTTTTCCTGGTTTCGTAGATTCCAATTAAGTAAAATCTTCATTTATTTAATTATTATATTCCGTTTCCTAGAGCGTTCCACAACAAATCAGAAATAAATTGACAGGAAATCCTTACTTCTTAACGAGCCGAGCTCGGCGTCGCGTCGTGTGTACGAATGCCATAAATTAAAGTAAATACATTTGGAGAAAGTGGACCATTATTCTTTATTAGATAAACGTTTAGGAATGCCTAATCATAAACTCATTTTCGTAGTCAACTTGCACTAAGACTGTAAGAGTGAAACGTTACATCAAATGGAAAACGTTTAAGAAATGTGAAAGAGGACTTTAGAGCTTTATTAATTGCATAATATCTGAGCGTTGAGCGCTGATATGCGCTATCTAAATGGGCTGGAACCTTGACGCAAACGAAGACTTTTATAAATGTGATCTTCAACTCGCCAAATGTATTCACAACGAAGTCTAAAGTACTAAAATTTGTCTTACCCGTCTTCCGCAGTCGTCCAAAGGGTAAGGTTTATAATATATTGTTTTATTTAATGAAAACGAAATGCCTTCAGCTATCCTCGGTGAAAAATGGTCTCATAATTCAAACTTTTTGTGAAATGTACATTATATTTCTTAAATTTAAAAAAAAACTTCACTTTATACATGGAAAAACCTTAACACGCCTCGGAACACAACTTTCCGTATATCTCAAAAGTAGCTTTCCCAGACGCGATTTTTTCCACATACAAAGACGCTTTCTTTGCCCGATATCATGCGAAACGGTGCACACAAGACTTCAAACGCTTTTTTACCTGCACAAATCGAAATATCCCCCTCCCCACATATTATGCGGAATCGGGTAACGAGCATCAGAGGTTGATTTAGTAAGGGATCAAAGGATTTGAATGGCAATACGTCTATAATTTAACCGAACTCCCTTTTTCGCAGGATATTGTTCGCGCAAAGTTGTAAAGTCATGGATGCAAATGATTGATGAGCTTGTAATGCTTTAATGAGTTGGCGATATAAAAAGTTTACGGGAAAATTGTCAGTACATAAAATACGAAATTTATTATCCTGTTTCCAATTTGTTGCTGGTTTGTTTCCGTTCATCGTGCGTAGTGCGCAATTGCGAGAATGGGAAACGTTTGATCATAAATAATATAGCACACGCATTTATAGTATATGATGCTGTATTAGTAATTCAAGTGCGTACTTGCCTCCGCTGTTATAGAAGGCATAGCCGTAATAAGGGCAATGGGGATTTATATACTACCTCCTTTTCAAATTCCATTTTCTTTGCCGTTGTAGGAGCATAGATTATGAGTAATGAACCGACGTTAACAAGCTTTGGTGCTGTATATGAAATGTATTGCTTGATGCTGTGTAATAAACTGTGTGTTATTGCTCTAGTAGACTCTAATGCTATTTGCATTTCATGTTTAAAGCAAACGTGTTGTTATATTAGTGAGTTGCAAATGTTGCATGGATGGATCTAATTAGTGATGATTATGCCTAGAAACCAATTTCGAAAAAAAATTCAAAGGGCTGTAAATTTTGAACTAGTAGCCCAATCTTGGAACTGTTTGAAATTATGGATTCTACAGGCACCATTCTATACGGAAATTTTTTTCCGGGTCGATCTGAGACAATTTGTTTTTCGGGCCTCAAAAAAAGGCAATGTATAACCTTCCTTTTTTACCAAAAATTGACTACAACAAAATTTCTCGGGAAAACACTTTTTCTTATTAATTTGGGTGCGTAGAATCCAAATCAATTCGTACTTTTTCGATCAGACGTCTCAATCAAGAGTTAAGACTAGAAACCAATTTCGAAAGAAAATTCAAAGGGCTGTAACTTTTGAACTAGTGGCCCAATCTTGGAACTGTTTGAAATTATGGATTCTACAGGCCACATTCTATAAGAAAATTTTTTTTCCGGGTCGATCAGAGACCTTTTTTGTTCGAGGCTAAAAAAAAGCAGTGTATAACCTTCCTTTTTTACCAAAAATTGACTACACCAAAATTTCTCGGGAAAACACTTTTTCTTATTAATTTGGGTGCGTAGAATCCAAATCAATCGTACTTTTTCGATCAGACTTCTCAATCAAAAGTTATAGATTAGAAACCAATTTCGAAAAAAATTCAAAGGGCTGTAACTTTTGAACTAGTAGCCCAATCTTGGAACTGTTCGAAATTATGGATTCTACAGGCCACATCCTATAAGAAAATTTTTTTTCCGGGTCGATCTGAGACATTTTTTTGTTCGAGGCTCAAAAAAGCAGTGTATAACCTTCCTTTTTTACCAAAAATCGACTACACCAAAATTTCTCGGGAAAACACTTTTTTTTTATTAATTTGGGTGCGTAGAATCCAAATCAATTCGTACTTTTTCGATCAGACTTCTCAATCAAAAGTTATAGACTAGAAACTAGTGATTTTAAATTACACGTTTTTTTTAAAGTGCGTAATATTACGTGTAAAATTACCAATTGTTGATGTATTTTATGTAATTTATGTAACACCATTTTTTAAAAAAAAAACCGTAATTTTACAGTAAAATTACCAGTAATTTATGTTTTTTATGTAATTTACGAATATTTTTGTAAAATTACCTGTCATTTATGTTTTTTATGTTTTTTTTCAGTATTGTATAAACCTTTTTGAATTTTGTGAGTGTTTGAAAATAAAAACACTTGTTAAATTATATATTTTTGTGTATTAAATAAAATACCCAAGCAGTAGGTATTTCGCCATCACGCGTCGTTTGGAGGAAGAAGTTCCAGATCGCGAATTAGAGGCTGTATCATCTTTATTAAACCAAACTAAATTCAACGGTGAATCGTTTACGTTGGTAGTACCGTTGATGGTCTGTGGTAGTACCGATCAAAATGTATCAAATAGGTATTACATTTATGTAACTTACAAAAATTACGGTTTTTTAAATTAAAAACGTAAGTTACGTAAGTTTCATAAAAGACATAAATTACATAAAAAAACCGGCCTCTTGTAAGTTACGCGTAATATAACCGTTTTTTATGTAACTTACAAATCGTTATTTTACAATCCACATCACTAGCCGTGAAAGCTTTGTGTACCTTTCAATCTTTCAAATGTTGAAATTGTGAGATCAAAGCTCTAATGTCCACGTTTTGACACTACTAAGGTGTTATGCTGTTACACATTGCCCGCACGAAATGAAGGTATTTTTGAGGACCAATTCCTTCGCATCTTTGAAACATTTTCTGTAAAATTTAATGTCTCACTATTATTAGCACTACACATACCTATACTTACATAAGGTTTAGATGTCTAAAAATTGTAAAATTCCTTTCCCTATTATCTATTCAGCCACCCCATAAAGTTAAGCCACTCCCGCTAAATTTTGGCCAATGTAAGAAAAAGAAAAATTTTAAAAACCCCAAAAATTTGAAAATCGCATATCACATTCACATGACGCAATGACAGGTTTGACGTTAGGGATGCGTGTGTTGCAGGTTTCAAAAACTCGACCAATAAAAATGTTCATTGAAATGACCTGGGAGTTTTTCAGGAGTAGCTCAAATATTTCTTCTGGATGAATAGATTATAGTTTCCAAAAAGTTATTAAATCTGCATCAGCTAGCTCTTTCCTTTTACTTACTATCACGGCACAAAACTTCTCCCCAGCACAGAGAAGAGATTCGACTCTGCTCTCAGTTAACCTGTTAACTTCTCACAGATAGTGGGTCAGACCAAATACCTTAAACTCCCAACTGAACTTCAAAATTTTGAATAATTAAAAGCACCTTGGGAACCTTCCAATAAACACACAGGTAAATTAGAAATGATGTCGTAGTTAATGGAACACACGGAAATTTAATGTGAGAATACAGAACTGCGATTTAATCTTAACACACAAAAGGAAAATGGTACAAACACTCAAACAATTATTACAAAAAGACTAAAATTAAGACTTAACTACTTATATTACTTGTCCGGGAATTGTAATATCCAAATAAAAGGTATCCGTACACAGTGCACAAAAACAAAATTACAATGTTCAATCAACGCCGCAAACACCTCTCCTTGCAGCACCTTTGATGGCCAATACTTCAAAACGTAGAACAAAAACTAGCCTCGAATTCAGCTTCCGGCTTCACGAACGAAATTTCTTCTATCTTCAATCTCACATTGGACGAAAACTTTCAATGTTGGCTGGGCATAAAAAGGCAATGGAATTCGCAAAAAGCGAATAAATTCTTCAACGAAACGTAGTTCTGCGTTGATTGTGGCTAAAAGCGACGCTTTTCTTCTGAAAATCAAAATTACAACAACCAATCATACCTAATTGACAACAAAGAATCAATTTCTTATGAGACATTAAGCCCCAGTTGCACCTACAAATTAAGCCTTGCTTAAAGTTAAGTCGAACTTCAAATCTATGGCAACGATTCTTAAGACAATCGTTGCTAAGGTATTTAAGTTATGCTTAACTTTAAGGGATACTTAATTTTGACGGTGCAATTGGCCCGAAGAGATAAATCCAAACTTAAAATCTAGGAAAAATAAAATTTCATCTCTTAACTACACAGAAAATGCGATAAATCACATCCACCTGTCAATTAAATTAAGTATTTACATTTGTCGGCAAGATGGCTCTTTTCTAAGACACAAAAAAACAGCACGTAAAACATATATCCCTGCGTATGTCAGTTCTGAACTTTAGCCAGCCTCTGCTACGTCAATTCGAGATTAAATATCGGCACAGTACATATTCGAAACAAGTCCCTGTCAAATATTAATAATCATAATCACTCGGTTCAAATAAATAGTAGGAGCATAACGTTACGGATCACATTACAACACAACAAAGGAACATGTCGTAGCAAAACATTAGTATAAAGTAATTAATTCTCAATGCCAACTGCAATATGTAACAATCAACCACCTAACGTACGTCACTGGCCCCCAGATGAAGCACCCTGTAAATAAACAGTGACATATTAATGCGAAAGAAAGGAGATGAGCTGCAAAAAATTCAATTATAAATTAAAATGTAGTATCGATGTTTTCAAATGCAGCACCATCCACGAATCGCCATACTATTTATTTATATCGTTTAATTCTGCAGTTTAATTCTGCATACTCGTATTGAATATCATCCCTAAGGGAACATACTGTATCTAAATATAAATAAAAACATGTAAATCGGTCACTAATTCATATTGCGGGTTGGCAGGTAAAACCATCACTAAGAACCAGGCTAAGAAGAAAGGGATACTGTAAATTGAAAACCAACATATTTACGTAGAAAATAACATGGAACCTTATATAGCGTTATATTTCACACTTTTAATGTAAATTATGGCCCATTTCAATGTAGAGCAGAGAAGAAAAAAACACGTGTTCCACGGAAACGAAACAAAGCGCAATCTTGAATTCTTTGGTGGCGGCAGGAACGGCTTAGGGAATATTTAAATCGAATTTTAGCGGGTAAATTCGGTTCCATTACAGGTTATTTCCTGTTTCGAGCCGAAGTCAATATCCTTTACTCTAAATTTCGATAGCGTTTCGCTACGCTCAGAGGAAGCTAAAGACACTAACATTACCAGTTTTAATGTTAAATTTCAGTTTTTGTAGGTAATCTTGAGCCAACTTAGGATTCCAAGAGGAAGAGTATTATGGAAAGGTGGGTTTTTGCCGAAATACACCTTGAAAGAGACTATAATAGCCGCTCGTCTGGATAAAATTGACAAGCAGGTCAACATTTTTTTAAACAAAGGGCATAGCCAGAACATCATCCGAGGGTTCTTCAACCAGTTTCTGCGTGCTTGAGCCCACTACCGTCATCACCCACCGGGGCGCACCAGATCATTCGCTGATGCAGATAGCTGACGTATCAGTTCTCTATCGGTACATCCTTCTAACAACGGTGCCTACAAACGGCCCCAGAAGATACGCCATACGCCAGCAATACCGTCGACGCTCAAAAATTGTAAATCTTTACATGAGTGTATATTGTACATAAATCATTGTTAAGGTGTAATGTCTGTTACATGGAAATGCTTTGCAACATTAGTTTAGTACAAATGGTGGATTAATGTATTAAAGCCTAAGTAGAATAGATAACTTTCAATTGGTCTTAACATGCTTTATTGAAATTATGCAAGTATAGAGCACAGAAACACGTTTTTCAAACGAACTCGAGCGGAAAGGACGACGTCTTCCGGATAATCCCTCTTTGAGGACGAAATACTTTAAATAAAGGTTCCGCAGATTTAATGTTCAATTTACAACTCATCCCTCAGTGCGAAGCAATAATAACGCGCGTCTACCCTTACGAAATGTATACAGCATGATTAATGAGTAATAAAAAATTGATTAGAAATACATCGCCTACTAGCTGTTTTTAAATAAAGGTAATAATCCCTTCGTAGTAGATCATTGTCAATCTTTCGCAATTTATCTTTTTAATATTAATGATGTTAATAAATTATGACTGTCATTTGGGATTTAAATGCAAACATAAATCTGACTAAACAGGATGCCATTAACTAATTACAAATAGAACGATCTCCGTCGAAAATAATGCTAAGGTGTTTTGGATAAGATTAAATGCGTATGTATTCTACATTCATAGCATTCTTGTATGGTGGCAGTAGATGGGCGATATTTGACAGGTATATGTGTAATATTGAATAAAAAAGCTAGCAATTTAAGATGGATGGATTTTATTACACAAACCCTCTTTGTCGTCATGGAAACCTCTTTAAGGATTTGCCTACAAATCTCCCTCTAAATTGTCTACGAAACTTCCAGACATATTAACAGATAATAATCTATAGATATTCCTGTAAAAACAATATGTTTGAAAGAATCGACATAATATACAGGCTGTTTCACTCAAGCCGTTATCTAAAGGTATTCAGGCTCTCATTGGTAATTTAAATCTTAAAACTTTGCATACCAACATTTTTATGATCTATTAAAAGAAAATATTATCGTGATCGTTTCATTTCCGGTTTTAGCGGATGTGGATAGCAACTCTCTTATTTCAAATATATAGTTTATGGCATTTTCGAAATCTACATGAAAATCTACGTCCTTTGATACCACATTTTCCTATACCCGGCATTAAAGGTTTTCAAGATTTTTAAAAATTTTTGACGTGTGACTGCTTTTCTTTTCAGCCTTGTACGTATGACACCGTTGCCTTGAATTTCAAAGTCTTCGAAAATCAACAATACTGACTTGATGCTACAGGAGAATGTTTTAAATTGTTATCGCTCTTGTACAACTTCAAACCTTAAAAGGTTGATTTTTTAAATACATCATTTTTTTGCACTTTCCTTGTTGGGGTATTAGACGAGTGGAGCCAGCCGTCTTATTTCCGAACAAAAATGACCTGTGGCCAAAGGTGGATTCAGTTAGTTAATGTCAGAAATGAGAGAGGAGAAGGATAGTAAAATCCGAAAAGAGAAAAATGGTTAAGAAGACGAACAGGTCGTTCATTTGGTTAATTAATCATTCTTGGTGGAGAAGTTTGCTGTGTAGGAGAGACAGTTCAGAAGGTGGTTCACAAGGTTAATTTCCCGTAGAACAGTGAATAGTTCTGCTTCGAGACAATCCCAATGTTTTTCACATATTCAGTGTATTGTGAGCACCTATTTCGATCAGAGCAGTGTACGAATATATGAGGCCTTTTGTGAGTGTCTTTTTGCGAATCTATGAAAGAAAATTGGAGACAGGATCGGATAATAAGATTATTATTTATTAGGTAATGAACATTTTATTAACTAATTTGTTGCAATCGATCGCATGTGCGTGATACATTGTTTGGCATTTTATACAGCAGTATGTTAAACCATTTTCTGACGTATGAAATTTAAAATATGGACGATACGATCACAGAAATCATGTCGATAGGTCAACAATGATCAGGTATTAATATTAGAATTGTAATACTCTTAATGGGTTAATTGAGGTGCCCTCTAGCCATTTTTATCAATTTCATGATCGTACCTGGGGGGCTAAATAACGTCACGTACCCAACATCACATCTTTAAGGTGAGAATACAATTTTTTTAATTGAGAGTCGAACCAAAAAACAACCCAAACGTGAAAGATCATCCTGTATAATAAAACAAGGTTGATTTTATAAAGGTTCACTTGATTACATAGAATGTTGTCGAATTTAATCTTTTTTTCTCACAATAAAATGTGTCGCCTTAACTAGTAGAGAAGGCTAAAGATAACATTCGATCACGTCACCAAATTCTCAAATTCTTCACAAATGTATTTATAATAAATTAGTCAGTGTTTGAATGTGAAAGATGATGTGCGGTCAAATTAGATCTCTCAGTTTGAAGTAAGTGCAAATTTCTTAATTTTCATGCATGATGAGGGCAACGTAAATGAAAAGTTTCCTCGCGATTACAATTTTCGTACTTACCTTAACTAACGAAATTTGTGTTTATTCAATACGTAAAAATAAATTTATTGCACAAATTTTCTTTCGCCTTTCCTAAAAGGTCCTGACTTTGCTATACTTAAAGTATTTTTGTCCATCAAGAAAATTGAAACGGTATGACAAACGAATTTGAATTAACATTAACCAATCCATAGTGTAAATATTCTGTTCTTTACATCGAACTAAATAAGACTTTTAACCAACATTATTGTAGCGAATATTCAAGAAATCCCGATAAATATCGAGGCGCCATGTAAAATTGTGCGTCGACGATAAAGAACGAAGGCGGATCCGGGAAAAAGCACCTGTTTTGTTCTACTACATTCGAGAAGACTTTGCTTATAAGCAAATCGAATTGCACCAGAAAAAGGTTTGGAGCTCGATCTTCAGATAAACATTTACAGCAAGTGTATTTCGCCCAATGAAAAGCACGAACGCAAAAATCTGGCGCAACTTTGCAGGGCCTCGAAGCCGATCTAGCGTCGTTAATCAGATTGGTATCGTATGGTCGGTTCCTGAAAGGCTTATGGAGCAGCCGGCGGTGCAGACGATTATCGATGGTGTTCACGATGTGGAAACGTATCAAGTTTTGAAACTTACGCGACATGAGAACTTCGACAACGCTCTGGCGCATGCACTGGAGTTTGTTTATTTATTTATTATGCCTCTCTTGTTCTGGGCCCTCAACAGGCTTGCGCCCAATTAGAGAGTGGCCCGCATAATGCTTTTTGAGGAGCCTCTGCAGAAGGTCTTAAGTTGTTCTATACTACTCGGGTCTTACGAATTAGGAAAACTACAGGAAAACCTAATTCCGAGTAGCCGGCAGAATGCTCAAAACTGGT